ATTATTCAAGGAAAGGTTGTAATTTATTACAGCAGTAATATAATACAAATGTGTTATGTTAGTTATATTGGAGAATACCATGAAATGCAGGGTCCTTTCTCTTCCTGATAGAGAGGATAGTAAAGACCAAGGCTTGAACAGTGTAAATGCAGCCAATGTTTTGTGGCTAAGGTGCAGGGGCTGGCACTCATCAGAAAAGGTGAAGGAAGAGAGAGAAATTAGGATTTGATGGTAATTTGCTTCTGCATCCAAAGAAGACAGTCTCATCTTTAAAAATCACAAGAACCTGCATGTTTTCAAAAGTGGTTGGTGACTTTTGAAAATGAGTTTATAAGTATTTGAGTTCTCAAACCTAGGTGGTTTTTTAGCTGGGATCCGTTTTTCAAAGGGCCAGTGTGTTCTGAAAACAAGGATTCCTTCGGTCTTTTCAGTGTGGATGGCCTGAGGCAAACACAGTTGGGGATTGCCTTAGAAAAATCTTGTCCATTAAGGATTAAACTAGATGAGAGCAACAGCAGGAGCAGTACTTACATAATGAAAAACCAAATTATGTAAAATTAGCACTATTTTACAAGCTGTCTCCAAACCTATTTCACTGAGTTCGTTTTTGATCTCAAACTGCAGTTGTTTCCAAATGGCAAGATCTTTGAGCTTTGTCACAGGACACTTCTGGACTTAAAGGCTTAATTGTCTTCCAATATGGCGCTTTTTTTTATGCATCAGAACATTCTCCTAGAAGAAGCATTTGGGAACTGTGATCATGGACCAGGGGCTTGGTCCCAGGGCAGTCTCGTGTATCCCCAAGTGCAACGTAGTGGGCAGGTGATGGAATCAGAACACAATTTGATTTTACAAATTGTATGGAATACCCCAGTGTTTGTACATCTGAGAGGCGCAGCTGTTCAAGGAAAAAAGGACATTTCCTTTGGTTGATTCCAGCACACCTTGCTCCATGCATCCATGCTCTCTGCTCAGGCGCTGATAATTACTCTGGAAAATATAAATGTGTTTCTTGTGCAAGAAAGAAACTGTCAGGCTTGGTTTCATCTGGACCATATCGTACGGAAACAAATGTCCATGCAGATTCTGATTTGCTTCAGAGTTGTACCACAAGACAAAATATTAATAACATAGGAAGGTGCCATCATTAATCTACGTTTTACTTTCCACTTATGAACAGTTCAGTCTTTACCTCTGTGTGTGCATGCTCTACCCCATAGAGACTTTTTTACAATATAGGTGTCAACAGCATAATAATGGAGAAGTCATTAAATGGCAAATTGCGGTACATTACAATAACCTCATTCAGTTAAAAGTTAATTCCCTTCTTCTGGTTTCCTTGTAAGTGTCATGAAGTGGCAGTTACCCAAGGTTTTTAGCAGGTGAAACACAAATGGTAATACAACTTATTTTTATGAGGCAACTTTCAATATACATGGGGAATTAATGCTCTCCCTTTTAGGTCTATCTTCTTTGGTAACCTGTTGCACAGATGCAGAAGAAAATGAGAAGAAAGTAACACTTTAGCTGTTATTTGAATTTTATTTCTCCGATTATTTGCATTTTTGCAGGGTCTGATTAACAGAATATCCCACTCACATTGGTTTCACTTGAAGCTGTTTGAACTAAGCATTTCTGAAAATTAGATCATGATTCAGTAGAGCAAGCAATTTATGGCTTAACTCCAGGCCTCGATAACCCAGAGCATGATTCTGTTGTGAAGATTGGTTTTGGCAGCAGGAAAGCTGGGAAATCCTTTCATCCATCTCAATATTCACTTACTACAGAAGTTGTCTTCCAGTTCAATACTGACCTTGCAGTTAGGTGAACAGCAGTCTTACAGTTTTCCTGCTATTGCACACCACAGCAGAGATGTGCTTTTTTTGATTGATAATATTCTAGTGGTAGCAGATCTGTTCGGAAAAATGATTCAGTGACCTGTGTCACCAGCTCCAAGTCTGTCCTGAATTTAGGCAGTCTAGCAGCAAGCAAGGACAAGTTATCTAATATATTTGCTTTTCATTATTATTCCTAGATTCCTATTATTCCTAAATAGAGCTTTGCTTTCCCTGTGGGGAGATCCTGATGTCTCCAGGTGCCCTAATGCTCCCATGCTTGGAAGCTATACATGCGGACTTCCTTGCTCCTGCAACCTAAAATATCATCCTCCTTGTTCCTACCCCAGCACGCACACAGTCTCCAAAAGCTTATTGAAACATTACTTACAAATAAAAATAGATGTTTTTAAAACCAGGCCGGCTGAGGCGGTGGTCACATATTTCAAAGTACTTGGTGACAACAAGTTTTAGATGGTGCCGTTCCTGTCTTCCCCAGTATCATTTGTTCTGGTAGCCTATGCCATGGCTTACCTTCTGGTTTAGCTCTCTGTGGGATCGTGCTGTGAAACAGGTTAAGAAATTGGTCCAAATAAATAGTCTGTTCAGACTTTTTCCTTTTTAAGGTGGGGCAGGGATAAGCAAGAGATGGAGAGACTTCAAGGCATATCTGAAAACTCTGATTATGTATTCTTCACCTCACTAGATCCTTACTTAATAGCTGAGGTGTGCCTCACAGCTGGAGTACCACAAATAGTCAAATGCAAAGAGGACTAATTTCACTTGGAGGGAAATGCTGACTAAACATCTTTCCAGGCTGCCAGTTCAGTTGTACTTATATGCAGCAAAGTGAAGTTTTTAGGACTTGTGTGGGGGAAAGAAGAGGGAAAAACCATAAGCTGTGCAATTACATTTAGATCAATTATCATTGCTAGGGCAGAGTTCATTAGATTTCTGCAGGTGTGTTGTCCTTTCCATCAACAAGCCTTGTTTAGAGTGTTTGGATGCTACTATGACATGAATAAATTAAATTTCTGCATTCCCTAAGCCTGATTCTGCAGCATTACACAGTACCTGTAGGGTGCTTTCACGTGCCTGCTTTGAGGCCAAGCTCTTTTTATTTTGCAGGCCCATGCCTTGGAGTCCAAGGACTGTTTCTATCCTGTGAAAAAGCCAGACTCTTGCAGAGGTCGATAAGCCACTAGCAGCTGTGTGTTGTTGTGGCCTGGCCACAAGCTTCATGTTCTGTGCTCTTCCTGTGTTGCAGCAGTTCAGCTTTGTCTCCCTGCCCACGGATGTCCTGGAAATAGAAGTTAAAGACAAATTTGCAAAGAGCCGACCAATCATCAAGCGTTTCCTGGGAAAACTCTCTATGCCGGTTCAACGCCTCTTGGAAAGACATGCCATAGGGTAAATTTGCTGCTTATGCTATTTTCCATTGTTTAACAAGTGTGTTGCTGTTTCAAAGTCCCTGGTGATACATCATTATAGTTGATATAATGATGTTGGGGGGGGGTTATTAAACTGACAGTTATCTGATGAATGATGTTGGTCTTAATTAGAATCTATAGGACTACAGGCCCGACAAAGAGTTCCCTCTATAACCCTATCCATTGTATTTTGAAAAGTGAGAGCTGGCATTTAGCAAAAAAAATTATTTTGTGTGTCTATCATGGCTGTGAATCTGGAGAGTGCAATATTTTCAATTTGGATATTATTTTAATGTTATCAGCAGGCTGTTTTCATGTTTCAGGGAATTACCTATGGGCTAAAATCATGCCAGATCTGTTCCTCCTCCCTTTAATTCCTGGACAGTGGAAATAGTATAAAAAAAATCATGTGGCATGTTGTAACTAAATCTTTCTGACCCTACCCTGCTGCGAAGGAATAACCTGTTCACTTGAGCTCACCAACCCTGTCCTGCTTGCCCTTTGCTTGAAAGTTCTGGGAAGGTGTATGCTGCCAAAGTAACACAAACGAATTTTAGGAAGATGGATAGTATGCAGACAAAGTTAAAAAGTTGGCTCTCAACTTTAAGGTTCAGACCTTGAGGAGCAGGGAGAGAAAGAGTCATCTGCTGAGGAGAGCATAGGCAATGTGGTTCCCAAGAAGGCATTTTTGCAAATTGGATCTCAATTCAGCAGAACAGCAGGAAGCTGAGCTTGTTGGAAGTGTTTTTGAACAGCTGGTTCAGAAACTGGCTGTGATATTGACAGCTGAATCTACCAGAAGGGACTAAGCTACCTCCCTGTTTCTCAAGTAGGGAAGATAGAGTAGCTTTTTAGAAACCAGATGGAAAAGAACAGCTTGGGCAAGGTGGAGCCCTGTAACTGATATCACTGGCTTCCCTCTGTATGAGACGATTTCTCATCATCTTCTGATTATATCTTCCTATTTTACTTCCTTATTGTAAACACTGTCTATCTAAGGATATACTTTGCCAAGAGCAGTGCCTCCAACCTGCACCTAGATCTGGCTTAGTTTTAATACCATAGTGGCTTTTAAATCTCAGGTAAGCTTAATAAGAAGTATACACGCAAGTTCAGAAAGACCATACAGAAATCTTGAGATTATCTCATTTATATGAGTTTCTGATGCATGTGAAACTATCCTAGCAAATATATTGTGCCCAACTGGAAGTGGACTATGTTTCTTCAAAAGATGTATAAATATAACTATTTAGTGAACCCTTTACATTCAAAAAATGCTTTGCAAACATTGATTCAGCCTCATTTTGGGCAGCTGGGAAGTTAATCTCTTCTGTAGTTTCATTCTGTTCTGAGGGGTGGATGAAGTGTGGCAAAGGGAGGGACCTGCACAAGGACAGAATGGAGTCATTGATCAACCTTGTCAGGAAGGTGTTCTCCTGATATTTCAGCTTCATAGAGGTAAGAGGGGTGGAAATAGATGAAGAGCAGTCACTCAGCCAGTTTGAAAAGAGAAGGTGGTAAGCGGGGACTGGCTTGTACAGGATTTTGAAAGAAAGGACAGGAAAGCTGAATTTTATGCAGATGGTGAAGGGAAGGACATACAGAAGTGCGAGGTTCTACAGAAGGGTAGATATGGTCAGATCAGCAGGGAAGTGAAGTCTTGTTACAATAGCTGAAGTGGGAGTTGTTTTGCTTCCCATGTCAATATTTTCATATCCATAATGCAGAAGTTCCATTCCCACCGTTCTCTCTCTCTCTATACATACGTGCTTGTGTATCCCAGAAGCCTGTCTTATTCACTGACTCAGCTGTTCCATTGTAATTGAAGACATTGTCCTCTCCTTCTCTGCCATTCGTTCTCTCGTACGCAAGTCAACATGCCCTCATGGCTGGGTTGAATAGCCTTTGAAAACCATTATGTATTTTTGTAGGACACAGCAGCTTTATCTATGCACAGTAGACATTGGGTAGGTTATAGTCTGTTGTGACGATATTTGTTTTTTTTCAGGGACAGGGTTGTAAGCTACACTCTGGGTCGCAGGCTTCCTACAGATCATGTCAGTGGCCAGCTGCAGTTCCGATTTGAGATAACTTCTTCCATCCATCCAGGTAATTCTCAGTCTTAACCCATCATTTATCTAGATCTTGGGTTTTTTGCTTTGCATTCTTTCTCCTCAGAAATCTGAACTCGTTCTTGGCTGCTCTGGGACTTTAGGTACAGTCATGAGCAAAGGAAAGTGCATGAAGTCCCCCATCACAGGATGCATCGTGCGTCACAACTTCTTCCCCATTTCTTCTTAGCTCAGAGCTACCGGTGTCTTGTATCCCCCCATTCTTGGCTGCTTCAAATACTCTGCCACATCACTGGGAGAGAAGAGGTTGGAAAGCTAAAGTCTCATCTGCTTCTCTATCACCTGTCCTGGGGAAGCACTAGATAGGCTGTTATTTGTAGAGTCATCTGCATTTGAGCACTTTATAAGTAAAAATGGGGACTGTAATTGTAGAGATGATTAGAAACTTTCTCATTTTGATTATTTTTAATGGAAAAGGTAAATATAAAATGGAAAAAATAATTCAGTGTTCCCCTCTTTAAAAACCTTTTGGTTTGGTTTTGTTTCACGTTCTGTTGTAGTTATTAGGAAGCCACTGTCACGATGGTGTAAGTTTGAACCTTGGTTTTCATGTCAAAGTCTCAATAGCATTGCTCAGGGACTTTTTGCCTGCCTATGGTAGTGTCCTCTCAGGTACGCTTTGACAAACCAGCGGCAGCTGCATTAGTGGTTGGAAATCGTGACTTGCCCCTTGCTGGAAAACCCTGACTTCTGTCTTTTTTGACTATTTGGATGGCATGAAAAAGCCCAGGTCGTCTGGCATCTGGGGCGTGGTGGTACACATGAGGATCACATCAAAGGATGTTTTGGGGAAAGTTTCCACCTTTCAGGTGTGTGAAAAACAGGTTTTTAAGTTCTCTGTTGTGCGAGTCCTGTCAGCTTCAGCATGACAAGAAAAATGTCATTAAAACCTCAGGCAAGACTTCCTTGTCATTCCCATGATACTCCTCCAATGCCAGTTTGGCTTGACGAGGAGTTTCAAGAAGGTGTTACCTTCAGGTTATGTTGCAAGGAGGCAGGGTGCTGCATACGGATTACCACCATAAGCCCCATGATTGTTAAATCCACTGTACAAAGACTGCCTAGCAAACAAAGCAGCATTTCTTGATAGTTGCTCAGTTGCCCGCTCATTTCACACTGTAATTTATGCTTTTAATTTTCTCAGATTGCTGTGGATGCCTGTGCCCCCACAGCCAAGCTTCTGGTTCAGTCAACACTTCTTGTTAAAGAAGTAATTTCTTTTCCTGTCTCACACAGATGATGAAGAGGTCTCCATTAGTGCAGATCCTGAGCCAGCTGACCTCCAGGAAAGCCCTGTGAACAACCCCACAGAGGAAAGCCTCGGTGAGCCTCCATGCATCAACACAGTGACCTCAGAAAGTACAGCTCCAGAACAGCTAAATGGATACAGTGTGAACAGTGTCGATAGCCCAGGGGCTGTCAAACCACCTGGGGAAGTCAACCAGAACAGCCTAAATGAAGAGCTAGCAGGAGATGGGGAGGTTGATGCAGTGCCAGTTCCTGAGCCCTTGGAATCCATCCCAGGAGAAGTGCTGCCTTCTTCGAGTGCTACGGACCTCACAGAGCAGCTGGCTCTGCTGGCTTGCGTGTCTCCTCCTGAGACTGAAGTTAGGGAAAATAACAAAGTCAATTCTGGTACTCAGGGAGATGGCGGAGTCTTGACCAGCACAGAAACATTAGATATTGATGAGGTGAGTGCAGATGTGCATGCTGGCAAGGACCTAGAGAAGAGTCAGGAAGAAGAAGGGGCTTCAGCCCAGGAGGAGGAAGACAGCAAGCTACAACTGAGGACCACAGCAAAGAGGAAAAACAGGCCGTGCTCCCTGCCTGTGTCTGAACTTGAGACAGTCATAGCTTCAGCTTGTGGTGAGCCAGAGACCCCTCGCACGCACTACATACGGATCCATAACCTGCTCCACAGCCTGCCCTCGGCGCAGATGAGCAGCGATGGGGAAGAAGAGCAAGAAGGTAGCAACGGTGGGGAGAACGATGAGGAGTCTACAGTCAAGGAGGCGTTGGAGAAGGAGATGGTCAGTGAGAGTGAGACAGTAGCAGCAGAGCCGCCCCTGGAAAATGAGGCTGAAGAGAACTTCAGCCAGAGCACAGTGCCTCCTGGGACCTTGGATGAGCAACTCTCTGACTTAAATAGTGGGCTGTTGGATGGGGAACACCCCAGGACAGGAAGCGAGAGCGAGTCGAGCTCCAGGCCCAATGGTGACAACGAATGCGAGGCGTGCGACACCTCTTGCTACAGCCCCTCTTGCTACAGCACTTCCTGCTACAGTACCTCCTGCTACAGCACTTCTTGCTACAGCACCTCCTGTTACGACAGTAACAATCGCTTCTCCAGCCATACCCGTTTCTCCTCCGTCGACAGTGCAAAGATTTCTGAGAGCACGGTCTTTTCCTCACAGGATGATGAGGAGGAGGAGAACAGTGCTTTTGAGTCAGTGCCAGATTCAGTACAGAGCCCTGAGCTGGACAGGGAGCAAGTGGATGGCTCCTCCCAGTGGCCAGATGAACTAGTAGCTCACGGTGGGAATCCACAAAGAGCCACAGAGAGTCTAGACACCCCAATAGCAGGTCCAAGCAGCAGAAGAGAAGGTTAGATCCTGAGAAGCGATGCGCTGAGCAACCCTGATTATCTGGATGTCACAAAAGGCATCAGATAATCGAGGTTTCAGATAGCTCACGGTTTATTTCATACAAATTTGGGGGCTGTGAGCTGGGCCAGATATCAGGGAGGGTTGGATAATTGAACCTGTCCTTAAAAATTCCAGCAAAACCAAATAAATCAGAAGGGGATCTGTATATATGGATTCCTGTAGATATACATGCATCTTTATAAAATCAAGATTAGCTACTGTAGTTATATGGCAGATCAGCATTATCATATCCACCAACTCATTCCTTATTTCCTGGGGTTGTTCCATTTCACATATCTGATGTGCTGCCATGTCTCTGCTAGTCAGTGAGAGGACCAGCTTGTGCTTTTCAAGGGGCATATATGCTGATTTACACCAGCTAAAGATCTGGGCCGGTGTCTGTATATGATTGGTAGCCATGCACAGTTATAAGCATGGAGAAGTGCAAATATTTGTCTCTTCTTACAAACCCAGTTTTCTGGGTTTTGTTCCAGGGTTTGTTCCAATTCCCCAAGTATCAAACAAATCTACCTCAGATTTCACAGACCATAGGGCAACTTAACAGAGATTTTTTTTTTCTCTTAGATGCTTTGAAAATTGAACTATATTGAACAAAATTCTCATCTCCTTATCCTTCTCTAGAGATAAAACATACTTAAGAAAGTAAATTTTTGTCTTTGAAATTTACGTACTGTTTTTCCTAATCCCTCCAAACCATTACATTAAATTCTTCCCTTTGGTAACTCATTTTATGTCATATGGAGTTACATGAAGGGTGGGTTTGATCACTCATCTTTTCTTCAGCTAGTGTATAATTTTTCCCCAGCTAAAGAAGTAAAGGCCTCAGCAGCAGCTAAGGAGTATGCGGCAAGGTCAAGAGGTAGTCTTTGTGTTTCTAAATCCTGAGTCATCTGTCTCCCACTATAAGTGACACCAAATTAAAATGGCACCAAAAGGGTAACATATTTGGGGATCACTGGGAAATCCCAACCAAAGCATCCTTCTACCTTTTCCTTCTCTATTCCCAATTTATTTACCCCCACCTTCCCACTGCCACAGACTGCCCCAGCAGAAAGAAAGATATAAGGATGGCCTTACGGCCTGGACTGTATAAAGACTTTCTAGACAGCTGAGCCTAGGCAATTATTTGCTCTGCAGAGCAGAATCTAGCCCGAAGAATTAAATTCTCAGAAGTACACAGAGGTACAGAAACCCACAGTTTCCTTCCTTGCAGGCGAGGATCTTTGCATGTGGACAGCATTTATGTGCAAGTATACCTAAGGGAGCACGAGTGCGTGTGTGAGACCATGCTTACAGATTTGATGGTTATTTTGGACTGTGTGTACTTTTGAGAGGGGATGTGGGGGGAGAGGGTGTCTTCTGCATATGGATTCAGCACAGCTCCAAGATTGTGCTCCTTGAGCCTGTATAAAGGGCACTGCAGTGTTCACGGTGGCTTTGCTTTGGTTAGCTGACAGAGAGTATGTCTGAAGGGCGGTCCGGCTCTTAGCACTCTTTTGATATCACCGGGGGTGCTTCAGTAAATGTGCACGTTGCTTCATGACTTGGCAGCTGTTACAAATACAGTAGATGTGGTCACCTCCATCCACTCCAGGTGACTGATACTACCATGCTTCTGCTGGCTTGGCGTAACTATCTTGACTAGGGGAGAGTCAATTATGGTGAGGTAAGTAAAGAAAAAAAGATGGATGATCTGGTAGTTGGTGCTACAACACCTGTAGTAACAGCATGGTTTTAAGGCTATGAGAGATGGAGTTTTAGCACTGAGTAATAACTTACATAACTCTGCTGTCTGTTCAAAACATGCAGCAGATGCAACTGTGAGATACGCCTATACACAAGTGGCTTAATGAAGACATTTAACAGGCCATACAGTATCATCAGAGCACCTAGAAGAGGGAGTATTTTTGTCTAAGCGATTTTTCTCACTTCTGGGTGGTGTGAAATTTTTTTACAGTTTCATACAAAATTGGCTTCTGCCTTCTAGCTGTTGGTTGTTTAAAGAAAAAACATACTTTTTGGTAATTTTTTTTTTTTTACGTTTGATAGTTATATGTTTGGTCTTTTTACAAGATGTTCATTCTTAGGCTATTAAGATTCTGACATTAAAGACAGCTAAACCAGCCAGCACACAGCGAGTTGGGCTTAGCTGAATGGTCTGGTTTTAATTTTGGAGTATCTTTGTGTAATTTTCTGATGATGTTGGAAACGCTAAATATATTTTTTCCCTAAGTCGCATCTTTCTGATGCATGTAAATGTTATATTTATGCAATTCAGATTATATCTGTATTAACAGGCTCAACTGGAGCTGGAAGTTACGGTGAAAAACTGTTAGCACACAATATGAAAATGTGTCCATTAGTAGGATAAATAGTCCTGGTTTCTAAGGTTTTAAGGACAGACCAAGAAGGCATCTTAATTCTGGAACCTGTGAAGTTTTAACGTGCAGGTTCCTTGTTATCACAGTTAAGGAATGCTTTTTCATCCCTACTATAACTTCTTAGTTTCTTAAAGGATTCTATAAACATTGACTGCATCTTAAGTTACTTGTTCCTTTCAACAGAACATGAGTTTGGACATTTGCTTAGGTTTCATTTGTTTCATATTTGGATATATAGACATATATACAATGTTAGTGTTTAAAGACTTCCTCCGCACTGTCTACTCTGTGTCTCTTCTTCTTCTTTGCCTCTTCTGTATCTCAGGTCTTCCTTCTTTATCTCAGATTCTGACTATGTCTCACTATCTTTTTGTCCTCCTCTTCTACCACCTGTCTCCTGTTTCTGGTCCTTCTCTCATTCTCCCTCCTTCCACTCAAGATGGACTCTTTGAATTTTGAAAAATACCTATAGAAGGGGATGATCTTCTGCTTTGCGGGGACTGCAAAATCCTGCCATTCTGGTCTACTTAAACAGCCATTGATCTTTTGGAAAAGCAAAGATCCAAGGCAGCTTTTAGCCTTGTATTCCACTGATGGGATGAATTAAAAGTTGGAACCAGGATTTTGTATGTTCCTGCCAATTTCTGCAGAAGCTTGAGTTTGGTTGTACATGCACAGTATTTCTCAGAGATCAAGCCTGATTCTTCTCTCGCTTACACTTGTGTGTCTATGAGTCCAGAATCTGGCCCATATCGTTTAACATTGACTCAAACCTGAGATCGGAGCCTTGACTGCATTATTTTAATAATTCTTTGGCATATGAGTTGTTATTAAAATAGTGCCTGAAAATAGGAATAACCAGAGCTGCTAGTACACCAGGCTAACCTGTTAAAAAATAATCACTTGTTTTACAGTAGCACATTTTTGAACCACATTGTGAAAACAGTGAATGACTGTCAATGTCTTGAATATCTTGTCCATAGGTGATTGTCCTTTACTCCATAATTCTCAGCCAGTCAGCCAGCTTCCTTCTCTGAGGCCTGACCATCATCACTACCCAACTATCGATGAGCCTCTTCCACCAAGTAAGCTTTAGTTTTTTAATTTATTGCATTTTTCAGCTTTTCCTGTTAACTCAAACAGTGTAGAGGTCAGTATGTCTTTCTAAATAACCCCATCTGTTCTGTATATACGTCCTCCAGAACCCAAGCAATATGCCCTTTTGTTTCCCTTATTTGATCCTGACTTCAAGTGTTGTCATGTTATTTTGGACAAACTCCATAACCTCCCTCTGCCTTGATCCGTCTTCTTCTTTAGCTACCATGAAATGATAATAGTAATATTTCCCTGTTTCCAGTCAGTGTGTTTAGACTGGAATGAGTGGGTATCTGCCAGGTGTACCAGAAGCCTTACTATAAAGCTTTCTGGGTGGTGTATCAGCAAAGTACTCTGATTTTTTCTAGAACGTTTGTCTCCAGGTTTTCCATAACCAGCTTCAAAGATGGTTTGGGATGGCAGGCCCTGTGGTCTGTCAGCTCTGCTTGCAGGTCCAGCAGGAACTCTTTCACAGTCAGGATGCTCCTGGGACAGACAGGTCCAAATCTGAGCAAAACCAGCAGAAGCTGGGGAAAGGCAGCTTACATAGAGTGGTCGTCTTGTACTGTCTTTGGATTTGATAATCAGTGAATTTTATGTTCATTATGGACTGTAATGGTGTCTTCAGTTGTGTTGGATAAAAATGAGAGGATCGATAAGCAGGCTGATAATACAGGATTTTTACCACCGAATCAACTGCTGGAAATGTTTTCACTTGTCTCTGTAGCCTTTCCCTTGTGTATTCCTGGAGGCTTACTCCACTTTTTGCATTGGCGTTAAGTGCCCAGCAGAGAGCACTCTATGCCCTGCAACGTGCTGCTGATCACCTTTCAGCTTCAGCACATGATTTAACCTCAAATGTGCCGTGCCTCAGAAAAACAACCAGGCGTATAAACAAAGCCCTCCATTTTTTTCAAAGCCCAAGTAGGGAACACACTTGTTTGGCCCATGTTGCCCTTGACAAATAATTCATCATTTACCAACCATGCTGTCAGTATTCCCTAAGCCGAAAATAGCCCTGATGCTGGCGTCAGCTGCACAGTAGCATGAATGATTCAAATGCCTTTAGCCCAATGAAGTCTTATTAGAGCCCCACTGCGGCTTGCCAGTGAATGATGAAATGGGAACGGTTACCTCTGTAACAGGCAAATATTTCTCTTCCTCCCACTCTTACCTCAACACTTTGTGAATAGAGCACATTCCCCATTAGATGACTTAATGATAGGACATTGACACCAGCTCAACTAAACAAAACATACTGTGAATCTGTTCCATCATCAATTTAATACATTTTTCCTCTTTCTTATAATTATTCTCAAAAGGGAAGGATTTCTACCACTGGTTTTCACAAGTGCTTTCACAACAGAGTTTAAGGACATGAAATGCAATGTGTGATGATACAGTACAGAAGTGATATCTGTAGGATTTTATTTTAGCATTTGCATATAACATTGTTTTTACAATAAAGGCTGACACTGTGGGCTTAAATAATTGATCTTAATATAATAGATTGTACTAAGTTAATTTTGGGGGGAAAAAAGTAGAATTGGATAATATCATGTAGGAAGTCTGTTTCCAAAAACTCTCCATGAAATTTTAAGGTAATTTCAAAATGAAAACCATGGCCTTAATCTAGAAATGTTTCTTCTTCTAGCATTCAGTATCACTATCTCAGTGCCTTTAATGCCTCTTAATTCTAGATAAATAGTTCTGCAATCATGTGAAAGGAAGAAACTTGATATTTTAAATGTGAGTTATATGATCAAACCTGGCTTACTTCTTACATGCAGCATTAGCTTCCGTCCATAAGTAGAGTTGAAGATAATTTGCTAGTGCTGCAAGTTCAGTGTTGACTGGTTTTACTTCTGTTGTGGAGAATCTTCTGGACGGTCTTCTTTCTCTTTTGAATAGTTTTCTGAATAACTTAGTTTCATTGTAACCCCACAACAGTTGGTCTCAGGAAGGAAATTTGATTTCAGACAGTTTTATTTAGGAAAGTAAGGTAGAACAGATTCATTATTTATGTAGGAATGTCATAATGACCAGTCTTAATGTTAAGGCCTATATGAGATTGACAGAAGATTTGCAGAGTTTGTATGGCCTCATGATGGCATTAATAGTCACCCCTTATTATGCGTGTGTTTGCTAGTACTGCTGGAAACCCTACAGAACTGAAGCCAAGAAAAATACATGTGCCCAGTTCAGAGCTGCTCTTTGCTGAAGGCATGGCTGAGCTTGGAAAGGAAAGGACAGCCTATTTACTTTGCCCTGCCAGGATTATGGTCCTGCCAGAAAAAGTTGCATCTTCTGGTATAAATCGGAGCAGTTTCAGAGGCTGCTGTGAAATATGACTTGGCTGATGGAGGGGGATTGCTGGAGAACAGAACCAGTACTGTCCTGTCCCCAGCCTGTGCTCCAGCATCCTCTTATTGTGAAGGTTAGAGGGAGGTTAGTCTCTATTGTAGTCACAGTCTTATTTTGCCTGAAAAACTAACAAAAGACCCTGAGGACATTTGGCTGGTTCCTAGATCACCTGTGCCCCTGAAGTAGCATGAAGGGACTTGAGCACAGGTCAGAAGCAGAGTTCTGTCTGTCAGTTCATCTGTCAGCCTGTTCATCTCTCTGTGCAGGTATCCATCCATCTGTCCACAAATCTGGCATCATATGCAGCTTCAGTGACTTGTGTGACTTACAGGTTGTCTTGTGGGAAGGTAGAACGTGCACCTGCCACCTGTGTACAACAAAAGTATCGGCACCTGCCACCCTCTGACAGCCTTCCTGGGTGACCAAAAGAAGAGTTATTCAGCTGATTAGAAATGCTGTTGCAAGGAGCAATACTGCTACAGGTTTCTCAAAAGCCATGGGACACAGAGTTCCAAATATTTTAGCACGCCAATACAAGTGTCAGCCCATGGTTTCAGGTGCATATACCCATAAAGCAGCATGCACAGATAGGTGTACTTCATGTCTGTATATACTGCTGCTGGATGTCTGATGCATCCAACAGATAGCCTTCCTGAAGTTGTAATCCAGTCTGCATAATCCTGACCTGATGTTTTCATCATGACCTCCAAGCTCTGGACAAGTTTCGTTGCTCCTAAATTTCTAAGTATTATGCTTAGGAACTCTGAGTTTCATTTAATTAGAGAGACACTGCAACATAGCCTCTAGGGCCGGTAGTGCGCGGGGCTAGATTATGAGAAGCCCTTGTTTGACTGGGTAATTGGGTAGTATTATTCTTACTAAGTGTCCATCCGCAAGCTTCAGACCAATATGGCCAGTTGGTGTCTTCTGTAGGCTGTCTAGAGTGTGGATCTACAGCATTGCCTACAAGCTTCTAATTATCCATTGACGTTTATTATTCTCAACTTTTTACATGTATACTAAAATAGTGTGGGGTGAGGGCTAGGATTTGTCCTTTGCCAGGCAACAGCAAGGAAAACAAAGATCTTCGTGATGTTAAGGTACATCATGTCACCTTTGATCTGGCCAAGGTTATTTGCTTGAGGGTATTGCAGATAATGCATAGCTCCAGAAGGACCAGTCCCCACCCACGGTGGTACACCTGCCACCAGCAACAGCGTGCTCAGCAAGGCTCTGGCCTTTGGGCTGCCTTATGTGTCAGTCTGATTTCCTTCAATGTGCATCTGTTGTACTTGATGCGCTGTTTTCAGTGTCTTATGTTTTAGGCATTGTTTTCACAAAGCTGTGATCTTGTTCTTGAAACAGCTACAACATCCTTGGGAAACTTTACCTGGTGGGAGGAAGAGAGAGTCCTCTCCTTAAAATTATACAGTGATGTTCACAGTGAGAGACACTGTGTGTGTACCTGTGGTGTGACTATAGGTTTTGCATCTATAAGGACTGAGGTACTTAGAGTCACCTTTGAAAGAAATAATGCACGTGCATATGGCTCTTGTTGTTTTGGAGTCTTAACAGAAAATTCATCCAAGGACTCCCAGTGCCTGTCTTCTAAGGTTTGTGGGATTAATGCATCAGGGGTAGCCAGCCATAGACTTAAGACAGCCTACACTTGGCTGGGACCAGCCCAGGTATGGGAACAGAGTTTAGCCAGGGCTAGCATTCAGGGGATGGGAATTGGTCATGAAGTTTCCAGACACAGCACGAAGAGGAACAACTTCAGTCCTGCTCTTAGAGAGTAGAAGATAAAATACATAAAATATGAAATCCAGCTGATCCTGAATTTGATCATAGAAAACCATAGAAGAAGGAATGGACTCATCAGGGAGGAGAGTATCATAGTAAGAGTATGGGAATAAGAGGAAGTGTTTGCCCTTGAAGGTAATCACCATATGTGGATTTGTGTGTGAATGTGAATGAGGTTTGTATATAAACACGTGTAGAAAGTATGTGCATATATTTACATAGATATGTCATCAGCTGATGGATCATGTAGAAATATAAAGCTAGCAAGTCTAATTTATATCACTACTCCATACATTCCAACCAATCTGGTAAGTGGCTTTGCTAGCTAACTCACTTCTGAATTCTTCCCGTTCCAAACACTTTTTTTTATCAACATTACCATTTTCCACAAGCTGTCATATACCAAATAACTTTTAGTTTTCAATCATGGGATAACTTAAACATTAGTAGGAAACAGTAGTGATGGAAAGCTCAGTATTATGCTGCAAACTTTCAATCTAGTTGGCATTCATCAGAGCAATAGATTTATGATACTCATCTGTTTACAGAGATTTCTAAGGATATGTCCAACCAGGCTGTGATCAGTTTTCAGGGGAGCCTTTAATTGCTGTATGGTATCCTTCGAAGCCACTTTATAAAAAAGAGAGAAACGAAACACGTTTGTTCTGAAACATAACCAAAAACAAAATGTGGGATTTGCCATATTATTTCAGATGTAATCCTTTTCTACTAAGGGTCGGTTCTATGCGGCTACCCCGACCTGCAATGAATCCAGCCAATTAGTATTACTCATTGTAAAATTATCCAGCCCTTTAAAAAATGTAGCCACTGTGCCACTTGTTTTTCATAGTCTATGGCAGTGAATTCCATAGGCTACCTATGTGCTGTATGTGAAATGTTTACATATATGCATATTCTGCATATACGTATATATAGACGAGCACATAGTATATATATACATTTGAATATGTAAGTTGAATATATACACATAATATATATTGCATGCATGTAGACTATATATATATAGTATCTCTTGTGTGTCTATACCCTGTCTGTGTATATGTATGTGTGTGTATATCTATCTCCCGCATTTAGGTTTTCTGGAAGGCATCACACTGACAGCATCACCCCTTCCTTTTTTTCCTACCCTAGATTGGGAAGCTCGGATAGACAGCCATGGGAGGGTATTCTACGTTGATCATGTCAACCGAACCACCACGTGGCAGCGCCCCACAGCCGCAGCAACGCCAGATGGGATCCACAGGTCTGGCTCCATCCAGCAAATGGAGCAGCTGAACCGGCGGTGAGCACTTGCACCTATATTCCCTTGAGATCTGCACTCCCTTTTTTCCACACTGCCCCAGTGGCTTCCTTCCTTCCTCAGTGCATCGCATTGGCTCCGTAAGGATTTATCTTTCCTCTTTCTCCAAGTCCAATGTACATGTTCCTGTCCCTGCTGCTGATGTCTTTCTGCTTGCTGGTGTGCCTGCTGTGGGTGTCTGGTGTCCAAACTTGCCCACATGAGAAGCACTGTTGAGTGAAAGATGTTGGAAAACGTTTCAAACAGCAAGAGGAGGCTTTTGCAAAACTTCTTTGAAATTACTCCCAGAAGAAAAGGGAGTGTTCTTCCAAAAGATGGAGTCACTTTTACTATTTAACTATAAGAGTGGTATGGATGGGTTGGTGTCTAGTGCTACGCTGCACAGGTTTCTGAGCTGACTGTTTTTGAAATAGTGTTACCATATCAGTGTGGCATTTCTACTCAAGCTAATTAGGCCTGTTGAAAGGTCTGTCTCCTTTTCAGGGCACAGCACTGCTCTAATAGGACTGTACACATTTCTAGACATAGACAGATCTGCTTAGTGTTGCACTGGGCCCTGTAAATCTGTCAGTTCATTCTGAGCTGGCTGAGATATCTGTTAACATGGTGCACATTTTCCTTTTGTTTGGCTAGTCCATACATAGATTTGTGTATCATTTCCTTCTCATGCTTGCTTTTCGGACTGAATCTAAGAGGAAAGATTAAAAATAAACAGTTGTCAAAAATCCTCCCTTTTTACTTCAGAAAAGGTTGGGTTTTTTTTATTCCCTACTTACTGTAATGGTGTAGTTTCTAGAAAAAGACAAGCAAAACTGAAATTATATTCTAATCATAGCATGCAAAATGCCACAAAAGTTTTTTGGTCTTTTTTTCTGCACTAAGAGAAGGATCTGCAGCTGAGAGAAGGATGCAGAGTTTCAAAGTACTCTTTTCAGAGTGCCGAATAGTTTGGGAGTTACTGTGTGTAAAGAGAACAGGGCCCTGAATGACGACGACTACAAAGTGAATGTAACTCTTCGAGACCAAACAGCCATCTTAAAGTGGTTGTTTTGCAATGTAAGTTGATGCCATCAACACACTTGGAGAATTTCTCCTTTTTTTCACAAAAATTCATTATTTTGGATGGCATTTCATAACATGTGTTATGTCTTGCAGAGGTGAAAGAACCTGCTCAGTATTTGTTTTCATTATAGCTTTCCTCAGAAAGTATCAAGCTACCATGTTAATATTAAAAAAAAAAAAATAAAGGAAGTGAATGTTTAATGTAGATTTTTTCAAGGTATTTACATGACCTCTCTGCCATTTAGCATTTGTTTTTAAGAGGGATTTGGGCCATGTCAGAGCTCAGACGATTTGGCTGCCACTTAAGCAAGTTATCTGCCACAAAAAGCAGAAAGCTCTGTTATGGAATTTTTTTTTTTTTTTTTTTTTTTTTGAGGTTGAACTCATGTAAGTGCAGCACAACCAGGAAAGGAGTAAGTGCTTGTGAGGGTCTGCACAGGAATTTACCATTCTGTTAGTTAACACAGGTTAATCATTAAAACAGCTATCTCAGCACAAACTGAAGGGTAGGCATTGTCTTCGTGACCTCCTTGCTTCAAACTTTACTATTGCATGTTTTCATGTAGGCTGCCTGGTTTTGTTGGTTATGACTTGATTATCACTGGTTTGGTTTGGGAATTGACAGTTAATAGGACTGACATTCTCTGAATCTCTCTATTTTTAGTATTCATGTATCCAATTACAAAGTGAGAAGTATAGAGGGGTTTCAGCAGTGGCATATCTCTCTCCTTACCCAAGTCCCATTGGAGACTAAGCACTTTGCAACTTATTAAACATGAACTGTCATGGCTTCTTGGGACAGAGGAGAAAAGCTGATGATTCTCTACTCTCTGCCAAAGATATCTATTGATTTGAGAAATGGAATATGGAGGTCTCTTACTGTTCCCAAGTTTGGGAATATTTCCTAAGATTCTAGTAAAAAGAGATTCATGATGAATCTCTGAGCGTTTGTCCAGCAGCAAGTCATTTCTGTATTTTTAACCTGGCTGTTACAATTTTTAAAATTATTGTTGTCCTAAAGTTAATTTCAAATATTTCACGTCTCCAGATTTCAGGACTGGGAGGAAAACCACTTTTCATAAATGGTTATCATCAGCAGGGTGGAGGATTGGGCTTTGTTTTAAGCACTGATTTTAGAAATACTGTTTTGTTGTATTTCAAACTTCATTATTTGAAATGTTCATCAGCAAACACACCTGAGAATCATTTTAGGTGACACAACAGCAAACATAGACCTTGCTGATAGAATTAGCAGTAGCTTGAACTTTTGCTCTAACCTCAAACAAAATTTTTACTCAAAATCACTTAGCAGTTTGAAAAAACTTGGCAACTTTTCTTTTTAAACCAATCTACTCACTTTTTGGCTTCCTGGTTTCATTTGTGGAAGGGAATGGAAAGACCAAAATACTACAAGGAAGCTTGGTATTTTCAGCCCAGCCAAAACCACAAAGCTTTGGAAATTCAGCTTGAAAAAAAGCCCATAGCTGTGATTGAGCCTAGTCCTGCTTTCCTTCTGTGCTCCTTCTGTGCTTGTGCTCGAAGCTTCCCATTAGCTGTACTAGCCACTTGAGGATACAGGGCATGCAAAACTGGAATCCAGGTGTTGGGCAAACTCCAAAGAGACATCCATGCTTCTTATTTTAAAGACTTTTGCTCATTTTCTACAGCACTGCCTGACTTGCTTGCTTGTTAGCAAAGCAGATAACAGCCCTTGTTGTTCCAGCTCTGTTGGAAAGATGCTTTGCAGCATATGTATATCTAGACTTGTCTTTGCACTAATTTAAAATGTAGTAAGTAACATAAGAAATAATAACCGTAATACTTAGGACAGCCACAGTGTGGTATTTCTAAACCTCCATTTCTTTGACAAATGACTTTGAAAGGAGACTGAAATTTCCAGAGGCATTCCCATAACTTTTGCACTTTCAATGTTTTCTCCAATCACTTTGGTATTGATATAAGATGATTTTATAGTATTGAGACCCAAAAGAAAAGTGTAGCCTTTTGTTGGCATACAGCTAGTGTTACTCTTTAAGGTTTGCCAGTAGGGATTTTCTACCATCTAATTAAATTGAAGCTACGAGGTTTTTTTATATGTGTGCTTATATCCCTTGATTATATGAACACACACACCCCCCCCGCCGCCCCCCTTTCTGTTGCATGTGGGTGTTGTAAAACTCCTTCAGTACTGGAATGGAAAGTTCATTCAATTGCCTGCAGTCAAGTGAATAAAAATGTAAAATCTGGGTCTCAAAAAGAGGGTTTAAAGCTGCAGTAGATTCATGCTGTTGTGAAACCTGGTATCAGAATTTACTTGTAAAGATGGATGTTTACTTAAATACAGAATCCCCAATTTTTAAAAAAAACTTCTAAAGATGCTGTTTATTGAGCTGTCAAAATATACACTACATGTAGCTTGAAATGACTTTGAGTACTGGGGGACACACATAGTAACATGAAAGTTTAGCATAAATCTACTAAAACTTTAATTATTTTTCTTAATTATCTCCAGCCTTTCTGCCCAAGATTGGGTTGTAGTGAGCTACTGAGGATGATGTCTGTTGAGAGATGTAAAAGCCAAATCCTAACTCCTTGTCTTTAATGATACTGTGTCACTTTGAGGAACTAACTCCTGACTAACTTCTAATTTGGAATAAAGCGTGTGTTAACAAATAGAGAGAGAGAAAGTAAGTTAAATTTGTAAGTCAGAACTTGAGCTGAGGAAAGAAAAAAGAGTGTAAGTCAGGAAAATGAGAGACAAACAATGCTGGATCAAATTAAATGCAGGCAGTAAAGCCATCCTGGTTTATGCACATATGGAAATGCAATCCAGAAATCAGGATTAAAAATATTGGGGTGGAGTAAAAGCTAATTAAAATAATTAAGAGAGCCTGTTTTCTTTCTTCCCTTTTCTTTCTCTTTCTGCTTTTCTTTTGCTTTCTCCCTATGCTTTATTTTTCTTTTCTCTCTCTGTATACAACATTTTCTTATTCAATATATGACATATTCATAGCTTGCCAGTAGAACCAAAGACATTTTGATCTCTCATTCATCTATGTGAGTGAACAAGTTAACTAGAATTTGTTTTGTGTAGTGCGAATTCAAAACACACCAGGTTATTCCCACAGCCAGGTATATACTTTGTCCCTGATCTCGTAAAGTATTTAGGATTGGGCTCATCCCTAAACCCATGATCAGTGCCTTTGACATCAACTAATGTGGCAATTAGTTCCATGATTAGTATGGAAATGACATCATAGGTTTTTTTAAGGCATTCACCGTTTTTATTCAGAATTTTCTTCTGTCGTCCTCCTCACTGTTGTTTGGTTATATCTATATTGTTTCCTCTTCCTCATTCTACAACCACCCAGGCTAAATGCCCAATCCCACTGATTTCTAAAAATGGACATAACGCTTGCATCCTCACTCTGCTCACTCAGCTCATGTGTTACATCCTATTCTACTTTTCTGTGGCTGTCATATCAATTAGATTGTTGCTCTTTGAGGCCACACTACCTACTAGTTTACATTCCATATTGCCTACCAAAATTCAAGTGTTCCCAACTACTGGCCATGCGGTATCATGAACACTCTTAACAGCCTTTACCTTTTTAGGGTTGAGCATGTGCATCCAATATTGTAATAAGAAGGACTGACGGGTACTCAGTGCATCACAGGATTGATTCTTACTTCATTGGTTATGCTACCATAAGACTAAATGAGAGGGGGAACCATGATCCACCACTAGTTTTAGGTTCCAGACATCCAGATGTTTCAAAGGGAAGCCTAGTAGCAACCTGTAGCCTAAATACCAGTCTAAATTTGACCTTTGAGTCTTCCTTGCTTTGCAGCCTCTCTAGCTGTTTGTTAGTCAGTGCAAAATGCCATATATGCAGAGTAATGGTTGGCCTAAGTGTGAGTAGCTGCATCAGTTGAAGGAGAAGAGTCGGGGGTGCTCTTACTCTGTTGTATGCTAAAGATAGAAGTATTGGAATCATTCAAAACCAGTGCTGATTGTTAAGGCAGGAAGTGCTAGAAAGCTCTTCTGTTAACTAAAGTATGTTGTTTCTTTCTCTGAATGTATGTAGGTACCAAAATATCCAGCGAACTATTGCAACAGAGCGGACTGAAGACGATGCTGTAGTAAACAACAGGGTGGAGAGAGTTCCCACTGGAGGAGGAAGTGACTCTGAGGCAGAGCCTTCCCAGCCAAGCTCAGGTATGGTGGAGGAAGCTCCTGAGTGGCGTGTTCAGTGCCACTCACTGATGGCATTCAGTTCTGGGGAAATCTGTATTTCCACAGGGGACTGGAACTTGATTATACTTGGGGTGCAAAAGCTAATTAAACGAAAAGAGGTTTAGACTTGAAGCTACAGGTTTTAGACCTGAAGCTACAGGTACAAAGCTAGGTATAAAGGACCTCAGTCCTTTTTTAACAGCTACTAAGGCAGACAAAGTTTTTTTTTTACTTTAGTAAAGGGCTATTGGAAATTAAAATTGAAAAGGCATCTGGTTTTTATTCAGCTTAGTATTTGCAAAAACGATGCTGACTTATTTTTGCTGCAGTGTGAGTTTGATCTTGGGACATTGCAGTTTATTCTCTCTGGGCATGGCTTCTGTGCTGTCACATTGGCCTGTGTGGTCACACCTGCAGTGGCCCTGGCATGGAGTGTGAAATACTTGTGTTTTTAAAGCTGCAATTTTGTGATAGCTATGACCTGGTCTAAGTGGGGGCTGCTTCTGAAGGAGGCACAGCTGGTTTTTTGCTCGTCGCTAACTCATGTGACAGCACCCCATGCCAGAGCAGACAACTGATCTGTCTGAAAAATAACCTTGTTCCTTGTACTTAATGTTGTTTACAGCCAGATTGGTTCTTTCATCTGGCTCGTTAGATAACCAGACAGGAATCAGTGTCACTACAAAAGGAGAAGAGGAGAATGTGTAACCAGGGCAGATGGGATGGGCAGGGAGCTGTTCTGTGCTTTTTGGTGGTAGTCATACTCGTATTTTCTTAAAACATTTGTGAAAACATAGCCTAAGTGTTTGTTTCGGGTAAGAAACACCAGCAATCAGACTAGTGCCCACTACGCAACTTGTGGACATGGAAAAATAACTATCTGCTTTGTTTGAGAACTTGCACCACCAAAATAAATGGCCAGTTCTCTTCCTTTGGATCATTCTCACCCTCACCTAAGGTTGTGTTCTGTGTTGTCTGCTGGAGGTAAATGTGACTTCCTGCATCTTTTTGCCATCCCTCTGTAAACAGCATTGGCAAAGGGGAAGAACCAACACAATGTCTGCTTGAATTTTCTTAATGTTCCATGTTGAATAGGAAGAATTACACAGAGAAGTAGTGTACTTAGTTTGGGTTTTTTTTAAGTTTAGAAAAATACTCAATTTTGCTTGTTTGTTCTCCTGATCTATTAGGTGTTTTTAGCTTGGAAATCAATTTTGACCAAGAATGTTTAATGTTTGATATTCAAAGCTTCTTTGCAGTCCTTTGTATTGCAATTTATGGGAGCCTTTTACCTACACTGGATGTTACAGGGAGAACCCAGTCCTCTCTGTTAGCAGCTGAAATGGCAATGAGGTACACATTGTATTATTAGTATTTAAATTATAAGTAATGTAGTCATTACTTGTAATATGTATAATTATTTACTATCATAGCTTACGTAATAAAATAGTAATTTAATAGGAATTACTACCAGTAAGTATTTAGGTCAGTTTATTATGTAACATTCACTTTTTTGTTTTAACCCCAAAGAGCTAATGAGTATAATATATGTCATCTTAAGTGATTAGGAAATGGTTTCTGCTATAGATAATCGCTTTGCTTTCAGGAGAAAAAGTCAATGTTGTATAAAATGCCAAGAATTAAAAGATCGAAGGTGATGTAAACCACATTAGAATAAGAGAAAGCTGCAGTATGATACATTTGCTATTTGCCTTTTAATTTAAATGAAAAATATCAGGAGGGGTATAAATTTAGGCACATTAATCCAGATTCTAAGCCAGTATAAATCAATTTAGCTCCAGCAATGGATCCAGTCTGCAGTTTTAAGTGGATAGAATAATATGATGTGTCTAGCAGGAAGAAAAAAAAAGTGATAGTTGATAAGAAAAAAATGGGAATCTATGCTCTGGAATCATGGCTGTGGATGTCATTTACCTGGACTTTAGCAAAGCTTT